CGTCGACACGCTGCTTAAAGACACAGAGCTGCTGTAGACTATCAGACTCCACATGGGCCTGCTGTCCATATAAAGAGGTAACAAAAATCAGGGCTGCCACATACAGATACTGTATTTGGCTGATCATGAAATCCAATGATTATTTTTCTGTGATGTCTGATATTATTAGTGGTGCTTGCTAAAGAAAGCATCACTATCACTGTTTGTTTTGGTTATTTATTTGTGTACTGAAATGTTTATTTATTTAACATTTCATTTGTTTACTGTAATGTTTATTTTATATTTATATATATTTTTAGGTATTTTGTTTACTGAAATAACATTTGGTTTATTTATTTATTTTTATATTTGTTTTAGTTGTCTTTCATTTATTTAATGAAATTATGTTTTAGTATGTATTTTTTATATTTATTTAATTTAATTTAGTTATCTTTGGTTTACTGAAATGTTTATTCATTAATTTTAATTTATTTGGTTACACTTTAGTATAGGGACCAATTGTCACTATTAACTAGTTGCTTATTAGCATGCCTATTGTTAATATATTGGCTGTTTATTAGTACTTCTAAAGCACATATTCTTCATGACCATATTCTACATCCCTAATCCTACCCAATACCTAAACTTAACATCTAATTTACTAACTATTACTAAGCAGCAAATTAGGAGTTTGAGGCAAAAGTCGTAGTTAATGGTTTGTTAATAGTGAGATTTGGACCTTAAAATAAAGTGTGACCATTAATTTATATCTTATTTAGTTATCTGTTTTTCTATTTGTGTTTACTGAGTTAACACAATTTGATTTCATTTATTTTTCATTTGTTGTGTTTACAAAAAATATTTTTTTACTTATTTATTGAGCATACTCATTTATTTATGTATTGCTTTTATTTAATTTTACATTTGTTTACTTAAACATACCTATTTATTTATTTTGTTATTTATATTTTTAGTATGTTTACTGAAATTTCTGTATTTATTGTTTTATGTATTTATGTAATTATCACGTGTTCGTTGAATTTTACTTTTTTTTTTTTATTTGTGTTTACAGAATATTGCATACATAAAGTGAAATCATTACTACTGATAGCAATCTTCACTAAAACATGCGAACACTAAACTGATTGTTGCTCTCTCTTTTTGTAGGCAGTGTGCTGTGAAGACATGAAGCACTGTTGCCCTGTGGGATACAAATGTGACCCAGAAGTCCAAGGCTGCACTAAAGCTTCCACATCCATGTGGTGGGAGAATTCACTTTGAATGAAAAACCACAGACTGACACTGAACCACATGTCCATAACACAAATATACAACCATCCACACACACTTGAGCGCTACATGTTGCATAAAGCATTGTTTTAAGATGCCCTCTTCAGACAAGGGACTATGCATCTAGCGGTTTTTTATATTTAGCTTTTACTACAATAAAAACATTATATTTGAGCAGGATACACTGAGAGACTTTAGTTTTTGATTTAAATCAATTTTGTTGAAAGGAAACCAGGACATGTTTCAAATGCTAGTAACTCATTTTAAAGGAACACTCCACTATTTTTGAAAATGGGCTCATTTTCCAACTCCCCTAGAGTTAAACAGTTGAGTTTTACCGTTTTCAAGTCTATTCAGCCGATCTCCGGGTCTGGCGGTAGCACTTTTAGCTGTAGCTTAGCATAGATCATTGAATCTGATTAGACCGTTAGCATCTCGCTCAAAAAAGACCAAAGAGTTTCTATATTTTTCCTATTTAAAACTTGACTCTTCTGTAGTTACATCGTGTACTAAGACCGACGGAAAATGAAAAGTTGCGATTTTCTAGGCCGATATGGCTAGGAACTATACTCTTATTCCGGCGTAATAATCAAGGAACTTTGCTGCTGTACCATGGGTGCAGAAGGCGCAATGATATTACGCAGTGCCTGAAAATAGTCCCCAGCTAGGTCACTTTCAATAAGCCTATTTTCAGGCGCTGCGTAATATCATTGCGCCTATAAAATAAATAGATTAAAAACAAAAAATATCTAAACTCTTTGGTCATTTGAGCGAGATGCTAATGGTCTAATCAGATTCAATGATCTATGCTAAGCTACAGCTAAAAGTGCTACTGCCAGACCCGGAGATCGGCTGAATGGATTCGAAAACGGTAAAACTCAACTGTTTAACTCTAGGGGAGTTGGAAATTGAGCCTATTTTCAGAAATAGTGGAGTGTTCCTTTAAATGCTGAAGTTTTGTGGTGTTAAAGATATCTAGAGTGACTATAGAAGTGATTTTAGCAGAACTGTCATTTCCCCAAAACATTGAAATGAAAATTAGAGGCTAAATGATGACATTACAATAACAAATGTTTGTAGGATGTTGATTTGATGTATTTGGAATTACATTAACATTATTCCAATGCCATACACCAACCATAAGTGAGAAAAGCTTCTGAGATTCAAAACCGAATGCATCACCAGTGAACTGAATCAAAAAAGAAACCTTTTTTTTTTTTTTTTTGCTCTAAATCTGATTGGGAAACTTTATAACTATTAGTAACAGCAAATGCAGTTGGCCCTTGACATTAATGGGTGTCGCCAACCATTTAACCCTATATTTTACTTGGAGGCTGTTGCATGTAGGGTTAATTCAACTTTGTCAGACAATTATTTGCTTTTTTTTATAAATATATATTGAAGGTGTCTGTGTGCATTTTTACAAATCTTTCGAATGACTGATAGCATTTATATTCCAATTCAAGAGTCATTCTCAACATTTGCTATAGCTGCTTTAGTGTTTATTTTTATCTCATTTTATTATTTACCGAAGGGTGAAGTGAATCTAGTTATTGATTACCTGTGACAGAATGAGAGTTATTTGTTGAAGTGGATTTATTTGTTTGTTTTTGGTTAATTATACCGGAAAAAACACTGAAATTAAATACTTTTGAAATAGATAACATGTTGACTCATTCATGTCTCATCCGACTGTTTTGATAAACTCTGTCTGGTTTCCATGGCACATGTTGGCAGATCCATCTTGGCAATGCGATTAGAATTTTTATTTTTTGTGAACACAATTCATGCGACTGAATTTTTTTAATTATTGGAGGAAAAATATCCCGTAAGGCTATTAAATGGTAAACACAGAATAAAAATGAGAAAATATCCTAAAAGATGGAAAAGTTTGGTCTGTGTTTGTCTTTTAAGAACGCATGTAAATGCATTTGACCAATCACAGGCTGACACAGATTTTCCAGATGGCTGCTGCTTGATGGAATCATGTTTCACAGCTCGCCTTCTGCAAGTGTTTGAGTCTCACTCTAACCGGCTAAAGCACCATTCAGCTGAAGCCACACAAGAGCTTAAAATATCTCCATTGGCTGAGTGTGTTTGACTCGAGGAAGAAAACAAGATTGCTTTGGAGAAAGTTTTCAGATTTCCAGAAGCCTGTCCTGGCTGTTTCTTGTGGTATGTTGACACTTTGTGTCACAACTTACACAACACCTGACCGGAACGGCTTTAGTATACGGGTGTAAGTGGAACTAAAGCGAGTGGGTTTGTAAAAATAGATCGTAATTAAATACAAATGCATGTATGGGGTTATACTACCATTCAAAAGTTTGGGGTTGGCAAGTTCCTTATGCTCACCTGTGTTTATATGATTTAAAAAAACAGTAAAAATGTAAAATATTATTACAGTTTAAAATGTATGTTTTCTTTTTGAATATCTTTTAAAATGTAATTTATTCCCATGATGCAAAGCTGTATTTTCAGCATAATTTTTCCCAGTCTTTAGTGTCACATGATCCTTCAGAAATCCTTCATGTTGTTGTGGAAAGGATTCTTTAATGAATAGAAAGTAAAAAATATTTTTTTTATTTGTAATGAAAATCATATTTGTAACATTATAAATGTCTTTACTGTCACTTTTGATCAATTTAATGCATCATTGCTGAATAAAAGTATTAATTTAAATTAAAAAAAATTACAAATGATTTGTTTCCGTGATATTTAATATTATTTATATACTATTATATTAATTATTTTGAATTCGTTTTTTAACAATTTTAGTATACTGACAGTTTAGAGTTTTAGTAATTATGTGCTGTTGTCATTTTTATTTTTAGTATTTAATATATTTTTTAAAATCCTATTTAGCTTTATTTTTTATTTCAGTTGCAGTTATCAAAATTTAGCTCATAATTATTTTTTGTCACTTTTGATCACTTTAAGTAATTCTCGCTGAATAAAAATATTAGTTTTATCACAAAAAATTATAATAAAATGAAATAAAATCTTACCGACCCCAAACTTTTGTTTAAATTGTTGCATAACTATCCTGAGTGTGTTGACTAGGTGTGAATGCTGTATGTAATGAAGGCACTCTGAGCATGTGTTGAGGTATTGAAGGAGCTCAATCACTGTCGGACAGTTTAACAACAGCAAAAACTCAGTGGAAATCAAAATTCAAGATGGAGAAGGTAAAGAGACTGACAAAAATTACAAGAATGTTAGACTCTGATAAATGATCTGGTGTGAGAAAGTGTGAAAGGGTGAGAGCGCGACAGCTGAAGGGAAGCGGGAGACACGCAGCTTCAAACATGCCAAAATGTCACTGCTATTAATACACCTCAGCAACTGCTCTCCAATCAACACACACCATCTCACAGTGTGTGTGTACATCAGCAAGTGTGAGGAAAATGATGGCTTCAGGTTCCTCCCACCTAAAAAGCTTGGTATCTGCCCCAGTTCTCTTACTGAGCTGCATTTCTTTTGATTTTTTTTTTAGTTGAGAGGACAGAGGAATGGCCATAACGACCATGTCTGACTCCAGCAGGCTTACAGAGGTGTCTACACTGGCTTATCTGGACGAAGGGACCTCAACGTCAGACACAGAGTGTGGAGAGGAGCCTGATCTCCAGCCAAGAGCTCTGGAGGAACCTCAGGCAGTGGGTGCAGAAGACACTGGAACATCAGACATCGTCGTGTCGAGGGGTGAGAGAGGACAGCCGCTTTAGAGGTTAATGAGTTCAAGAGAGGACGTCAGTCACGTTTCAGAGATCTACAGTCTTAGAAATGAAGGTTTTCCCGTGGTTCTTGGCAGGAACTTCCTACCAAGACTCATCTTGTTTTTTTTTTTGGAGATTAATAAAGTTCTTGATGTTACATTTTAGGTTAATCAGATTGGCATATCGTAGTAACAAGGTTATGTCTTTGCTGTTTTATTTATTTATATAATTTTATAATATTTACTAACATTTTAATTATAATTTTTAGATAAGTTTTCATTTCAATTTCTGTTTAAATTTTAGTCATTTTGTTATGTGCTTTTATCATTTTTATTAGTTGCTTTTTAATATTTCTATTTAGCTTTCATTTTAATTCTTAAAAAATTTAAACTTACTTATAGACTTAAAAAATAACAAACCTTTTAGAATACATTTATTTTTTTAATTTGTTTAAATTTTTGTAATTTTGTTACATGTCTTTATCATTTTGTTTTCGTTTTTATTTTACTGTTTACCTTTATTTTTAATTATTCTTTTTGATATAGTAGTTTCAGTACTTTTCAGCACTTTTATAATAGGTTTATTTTAAAATGATAATTTGTATATTTTCAGTTTTCATTTTAATTTCAATTTAGTTTGTTTTAATCATTTTGTTATGCGCTTTTGCAATTTTTATTATTAGTAGTTTTTATTTGAGTAATTCTCAATTCTCAATAACTTTTTTTATATAAATTTAAAAACAACAATGTATTTTCTTTTAGTTAGTTGCCAAGACAACATTTCAAATTTTTTAAAGTTTTTTTTTATCTAGCATTTTATTTAATTTTATTTCAGCTTTTTTTTCAATTTACAAAAAAAATTTTTAATAGTTTTATTTTCTGGTTTTATGAGAGAATGTGCATTGTTTAAATGACAGTATATATAGGGAAGATACCGTAGTTGGTAGATTTTGTTTATGTGTTAATATTTATGTTTTAAGTGATGTTGTAAATGTATTTTCAGCTGAGGAACATCAAACGCATGGTTTTACAAGTTTAGAAGACAACAACATCCAGTCGTGCATCAGCAACAGGTTTACACACTGTGATTCTTTCCATTTACTTTTATTTAAATAACAGGTTAATGGATCCATCGATCCATTTAACTGCTTTGTTTACCACGGTAATTCATAGGTCAGATGTGTCATTCCCTTCAAGTGAGAGAGAGAAGAAATCTACAGCTTGCTGCCTCAGAAAACATCACAGGAAACACCGAACAGAGATTAAAGACACGAGGAAAACGAGGGGGACGTGTAGACAAGACAGAGCAAGAACAAGAAGAAATGCTCCATTACTTTCTGACCAGAAGACCAGCGGCTCCTCGAGATGCTCCAAACCAAGCACTGAAGATCAAGACAAGTTCTCCTCGACACCAGAGCGACTATCCCGACCTCAGCAGGTCACTCCAGATCTCCATCTGTGGGATTGTCCTCAAGATGTTTCCCGTCTACGCCTTCAAAAGCTGGAGGTCGACTTCCCTTCGACCTTTGAGTCTCACAGTTTGATATCTGACGGTGTGGAACCAAACTTTGACTCTGAGTTTGCATATATCTATGCTGAGAGCATCAAGGGATGTGACTCTACTTGTTGCACGACTCCAGGAGACTGTAATACCCACAATCCTCTTGTCAAAACTGATACAAGCCCTGAAAGAGACCCTGAATCTGTCTGGAACAGCTTTGAGGAAGAATCGGAAGACTCCGATTGTGATTTATATATGTTTGCTTGCAGTATAGCAGCTACTGCAGGTTCCAGGTTGAACGCTGACCGCTTTGGGTCTTTACTAGATGATTTCGACTCGACTTGTATTTATACAGACTGGGAAAGGACAGAAACCGAGCAGGGTTACAGTCCAGCCGAAGCGGAGTGGTCCTCTGAGAGTTCGTGTTCCACCGCCGACCGTGACTCTTACTGTACCACAGACAGACAAACCAGCAGCTCAGATTCAGACAGCTGCCGTCTAGAGGCTCTCGGTGACATCAAATGTCCTGAAGTGTTTTTGCCGGGATTTGAAGGTCGCTTTGACTGCTGTGATGCAGCTGAAGACGTCTGCAGAGACACAGAGAGCGATCCTGAGTCTTTTTGCTCCAGACGGGATACAGCTGAACTGTGCGGTGTTGAGACTCAAATGGACCGACGGCATTTCTCTGAGTTTTTCTGTGAGATGATTAAAGAAGTGACGCAGCAGAAAATGAATGTAAACGAGGGGTTTCTGTTCCACCCTAAGCAGGTGTGTGACTAAAGTCATTAATGCAGATTGACAATAGACAAGAAATAAATATATATATATATATTCATATATGTACATAAAGTGGGCATAATAATAAGGTATTGCCTGATATTGGATATTTAATTGTTCATGCTCATTTACCATATTTTTACATTTAGATAACCTTTGCCATATGATGATTTTAATGTTTTATTTTTTAATTTAGATAACCCATAAAGCAAAAAATATTTTCAGATATATTTAAATGTTTCAAACTATGCAAAAAATATAGTGCTAATATATTGCCAATATATATTTAATAATAATATTTAATAATATATATGTATATAATAATAACATATTTACATAAATATATTCTCATATATTTTTGGACATTTTTTTAAATAAATAAATAAATATATATATATATATATATATATATAAAGCATAGGTTGTGTGGGATTAACTGAAGGCAAAGCAGATCTAAGACTCTGTTGGCTAATGACTGTGATGTATGCCAGTGTTTCCCAGTGTTTTCTCTGCGATTACAGAATTTGATTAAACGATAAACTTTTAAATTATGCTTTTGTTTAACACAGACTGCAGCCAGGTCTCTTATCTTATATGTTATCTTAGGCAGATAAACTTTTTAATGTATATATTTCCAATAAACTCATAACTTACTGCAGTTTTCATGGTGCACATAATTTCTTAGTTCCTCCAGGTGAAGAACTCTGAATATCGAGAGGGTCGTGAATATTCATTTCTCTGTCACATTCAAAATGGCTCATATGGAGACGTCTTAAGCATTCGGGACAAACAAACAGGATTTACATGTGCCGCCAAAAAGGTAAATATATCCATTTCTTATCCAATTACATATAAGCCTAAATATGTCTGAATATTCTTGCATGCACTATTTTTTGGACAAAGTTTTTGAATGTGAGAACCTGTGACTCTCTGATTATGTCCTAACTGATCCAATGCACTGCTCTCTTGTGAAGATTCCCCTTTGTAGTTTTAGGTGGGAGGAAGTGGAAACATGGAGTAGGATGGAGTCTCCTCGTGTCCTCCAGCTGTATGGGGCCGTGAGAGAGGGGTCCAATGTGATTCTCTTCATGGACCTGAAAACAGGTGATTGCTTCTACCAATGGATGCCTCGGAAAGCAATCAAGTCATATCTGAGTCAATAAATTCTCTCTTTCCAGGTTCTTTAGCTCAGCTGCTGAGAGCGAAGGGTCGTCTGTCTGAAGAACTGGCTCTGTATTATCATTCTCAGGTCCTGCAGGCTCTCCAACACCTGCACGGCAGACGCGTCGTACACCTGGATGTCAAAGGTCAGCGGCACGGCCATTGTCATGGATTTTCATCACAAAAAAAAATCACTGATTGTGCCTTGATGTCATTCACGTGTCGATTTTATGTGTAGTTGACAACGTGTTGCTGTCTGAGGATGGCAGACAGTGTTTTCTGTGTGATTTTGGACTCTCTGAGACACTCAATCAGGGTGGATACAGCACCAAAACCTTCAGAGGTGACTATACACACACACACACATACACACACCAGCATGCATGCCTACTCTGAAGTGTGATTTATAATGTGTGTGGTATGTGCAGGGAACATTCTGCGTGGCACAGAGTCTCATATGCCGCCGGAGGTGGCGAGGGGTGATCCTCGCTCTGCTAAAGCTGACATCTGGAGCAGCTGCTGTATGTTACTGCACATGCTCAACGGACACCAGCCCTGGACGCGATACTACCCTCATCCACTCTATCTGAAGGTGCAGTGAGCATGCAGTTGTCACTTTAGACGCACTATCAGTCAAAAGTGTAACACACCTACTCATTGTTTATTAGGACTGTTGCTTTTGACTCTACATGGTATGCTTGTGTCTACTGTATGAAACTGTTGTGCTATGATCGTCAGATTGTGAGTGAGCCGCCTCCTTTATGGGAGATTCCACCTGACTGTGACCCGCTGACCTGTGACGTCATCAAAGGGGGACTGGTTAAGGAGCCGAGAGAGAGACATTCGGCATCAGAACTGCTGCAAAAGACTGTGAAAGCACTCAGAACAGGTATAAAACTATTTTTGCATGGTTAAAAAATGTGATGAAATGTGTATAACATAAGTAATTCTAATGTCAATACAGTAAAAACGGTAATATTGTAAAATATTACAATTTAAAAGTACTGTTTTCTATTTAAAGATATTTTATGTTATTTATTCCTGTAATGCAAAGCTGAATTCAGCATCATTACTCCAGTCTTCAGTGTCACATGATCCTTCAGAAATCACTCCAATATGCTGATTTGCTGCTCAAGAAACATTTCTGATTATTATCAACATTGAAAACAGTTGTGCTGCTTAATATTTTGTGAAAACTGTGATACATCCCCCCCAGGATTCTTTGATAAATGGAAAGTTCAAAATAACAGTCTGATCATTATAATAGCTGTACTGTCACTTTTGATAAATTGAGTGCATTCTAAATAAATTATTAATTTAAAAATCTTACTGACCTCAAACTTACATTAAACTCTTGATTTTATGCATATTTAGTATGTGGGCGCTCTGGTTCTGAGGAACCATCTAAACAATATTCAGCACCTGTACTCGAGGACTGTCCGAATTTGAACTTGCATGAGACACCTGTCCTATCCATCGTGGAAACTCCAGTGAAAACGAGTCCTCCTAGTTTCCCAGAAGACCGCTCAGCACCTACAATTCACTGGGTGAGCACATGGAGACAGACGGCACCAAACGAGGATGATTCTGACTCCACGACGGAGGAGAGCGAGTGGGATGAAGATGCAGATATCAACAAATTAAAAAGAGACAAGATGAGCAGCTGGATGGACAGATACTGGGGTGAGGAGGAAAATAATAAGAAACAAATCTATTCAGAAGATGACAGAGAGCTCGAATCTGATGAAGACACATCACAGATCAATGAAAATCTCAAAGCAACAGATCAAACAGATGCTGAAGAAAGCAAAACCGATTATTTCACTGAAAAAAGAGTTGTGTTTGGGGGATGCGGTGAATGTGACAGAAGTCTTTTAGAGGAATCAGAGAGCTGGGATGGAGAGATCCGAAGCGTTGTGGATGATGAGGAGGTGGAGAGTGATTTGGAGAGTCTTCGAGAGCTTGGCAGCGATTGGGCGCAGGAGTGGGAACCGTTTCTACAGCTCCAGACACTTTATCATCCGAAAGAAGCTCAACTGCAGAGCGAAGACAGCTATTCGGAGTCTGAAGAAGAGTCAGTCATGCTGAGGAAGAGTGGTGAGTTTTTGTTTGTTGTGTGTGAGCTTGATTTGATTCAAACTAAATTTCTGTCCATTTCTTCTGTTTTCTTTCTTTTATGGACTGCAATAGAGGTTTAACAGAATGTTGCTTTTCTTTTCCATGCAATGAAATTGAATGTGAAAAATCATAAAAAGCAGCAGTCCGTATGACTTATGCACTACACTCTTAAAAATAAAAGTTCTTTATTGGCATCTATGGTTCCATGAAGAACCTTTAACATCCATGGAACCTTTCCATTGGATAAAAGGTTCTTTGAAGTGGAAAAAGAATCTTCAGATTATTTACAAATTTTCTTTACACTAAGAAAAAAAAAAAAGGTTATTTTAAGAATGTTTCACTGAAAGGTTCTTTTGGGAGCCAAAAATGGTTCCTCTATCACTGCAAAAAAAACCTTTTGGAACCTTTATTTTTTTTAATGTGTATATTCCAAAGCCATACGAGAGTATTGAGGGAAAGACTAAAATTAAAATCGTAATGAATTGAACGCAGCGACAGATATGATGTACATCCGTCTTCCTGATGGACATCCAAATGAAATGGATTATCAAAAAAGAAAAAAAATGTAGGGTGGGACTTGGTTTTATGCATCAGTTTTTGATTGGATATCGAGATGGGGGCGTGGCACTTAAAAATGAATTAAGTAGATTGTGGAGGGGCGGGGTTTAAGCAGACTAAATGATTGGAGAAATCCGTCATACATCACCAGAGGTGTGTAAATAATGTTATCTGAGTAACTTGAGGACCATGATTTTGCCACGTCGGATATGTTCTGGATCAGCATCCTTGATCAACAACACTTAAGAATAAAGGTTCTTTACTGGCATCTGTGGTTCCATGAACAACCTTAAACATCCATGGAACATTTCCATTCCACAAAATGTTCTTTATAGTGTAAAATGATTTTTTAGATTTTTGAAAAGTTCTTCACACTAAGAAAAAAAAAGTTATTTTTGGAAGCCTAAATGGTTCTACTATGGCATTGCTGTGAAAACCTTTATTTTGACCATTCAACATTTCAATCTACCAATCTGATTCTATAGATAAGGAAAAAAGTAGGTTTAGGTGCTTGAATAGGTTCATAATTTCCCCCTGATTCCCCAAGATTTTGCTTGTGATTTACATACACCTTTGCAGCATTTCTGTGTCTTAAACATTTTACGAAATGCATCAAACAGCAAATGTAGGTCAAAAGTTCTGATACAGAGCTCAAGTTGTGTCAGAGTTGTACAGAACTGAATGTCAAGCACTTTTATGCAACATTACTGAGTTCCTATTTGTTCTCCACAGAACAAAAAGGCACAAGTTTACCTGATTCTCATGGACCGCA